CAGAGGCCACATTGGTCGAGTCAACAGCTGCTTGATGAAATACGATAATAATTACAGTAATAATGAATTTTATTTATAATGTCCTTTATATCTCAAATTGAAATGGAAAAGATGAGTTAAATGTATTCATAAGTTGATGAGTTTATTTACTCATGAGGGCTAATTTGGGAACAATGTTCTGTAGAAAACAGAACGCCTTTCAGAAAAAAAAAAAAATTCTTTTTACATTATTTCCCATCAGAGCCACAAATTTTAGAGTGTTTCATTGAAACCGACTCAAAGTAGAGTAACTGTGGTGCAGAAAGTACAAGGATACAGGATTTTTGAAATGCTTTAAAAAAAAAAAAAAAATCAGCGAAATGTATTCAGTGTATGTATCAATGTATTTGTACTCAGCCCACCCCCAAATTTCAACACGTGAATATGCTTTAATGTAAACCACAGGTGTCGGTGCCCTGCAGCTTTTAGATGTCTCTCTGCTTTGACACACCTGAATCAAAGAAATTAGGTCATTAGCTGGACTCTGTTAGCACTCGACTGCATGTTGAAGAGCCAATTCAGCTTGATCCAGATGTCGGATCAGAGGTGGATGTAAAAGTAGCAGGAAACCTCGAGGACTGGAGTTTGACACCAGTCCTCCAAAAGACCCACAACGCTGATCTAAACTACTTCATAACAGATCTGTATGATTATATGTTTAGCTAAAGAAAAGCTTCTCCAAAGCATAATGTCACCACCACCATGTTTTTTTTGTTTTTTCCAAGAGTGTGGTAAGGGTGTTAGCTTCCTCCCATACATCGCATTTTGCACGTGGGCCAAAGTGTTTGCATTTTTAGAACAATCTTCTTTCACATTTTAGTTGTGTTCCCTACATGGCTTGTGGAAAACTGCTTGCAAATTTTCTACAGCAATTCACCAGTGTTGTGGGTCTCTTGGTTTCTCCCCTAATTAATGTCCTCCCTTCTCTGAATATTTGTTCATCTGGACGAAATGAACCATTCCGTAGCCTCGGCCTTCTTGAAGAAACATTTCCCCAACTTTACCCCTGAACTGCCTGATGTGCTCCTTCGTTTTAAGATGCTGCTTATTCACAAATGTTTACCACTAAAGATCGGAGGCCTTTGCAAAACACCTGGATTTGTGCTGACATTAATTTACAGACTCTGTAAAGTTTACTGGCAGCAGATGACCAACTTCTGCAGGAGCCTTTGCTATGGGAGTTACTGCGACTCAAAATTGAACTTACTGCATGTTCTGCACAACTCTAGTATTTAGAAACTACAGAATCGTGCTAAATAGAGTAAAAAAAAAAAAAAAAAAATCAACATTTATACCAGTCCAGTGTAATTTAGATCATTTTCAGACAAGCAGTCATATGTTTTATTGTAAGAATGGTTCTTTTGTTTGTTGGTTTGTTTTTGTA